CCAAAGGAAAAACAAGTTTGTCATATCTTCATGACGGGAGGTAGGGTTGGAACTTGGAAATGAGCTCTCGCTGAGGTTGAGCTCATACCCTCACACATTCTGAGAGAGACGAGCTGTCTTCACTCTTTAGAGTTGGTTTCCAAGTATTTGAGGAAGCCTTTCTGGGTAATAAAATTGGCAGGAGTCTTATTTAGCTTTTAAAACTACATGCATTTCAAAGAGGCAGAAAAACGATGTTTTCTAAAAATGCAAGGAAGAGCAATCATTTACTTTTTTTAAATAGGAAAAATTAAACATTTTCTTTTTCTTCCTTCAAGCTTACACAAGTCATTATTTTTTGTTGACATCATATGGTCCTGAAACCAACAACCCCAAATTTTAATAATATATGTAAGCTTCAAATCAGCATATTTTATTACTTATGCCATAAGAAGCTTTCCATTATTATAACAAAATACTCTAGATGATCAATTTATAAAGAAAAATGTTTGTATTGGTTCACAGTTTTGGAAGTTCCAGTTCACGATCAGTGGGCCTCATCGCTTTAGGCTTATGATGACAGAGCACATCTTGAGGGGGTACATAGCAAAACAGAGTGAGAAAGGATCTGAGATCACAAAGTCCTTCCAAGAGTCTGGTCCCAGTGACCTAAAGACCCTTTACTAGGCCTTTTCTCCTAAGGTTCCACTCATTCCCAAAAGTATTAACCCTGGGGAACACACATTGAACACATGGGATTTAGGGGAACATTTAATACCTAAATGAGATTGTTTTATGGCTTGTCTTCTAACTATAGAATTCTATTTAGGAAGAACTCCTTAGTTGTACTCATGGTCTCTTACAATTATAAAGATTCAGATATATGTGTTTGAGAGGGATCTTATATATTTTTGAGATTTTTTTAGGATGCAGTTTGTCCCTTTAGATATTTGAGTGTAAAATAATGGAAAATAATGTGATTTTCTTTTTTGTGTGCACATGTCTAGAATTAAAGGAATGCAAATTAAAACATAAGAAGCTAACAGTCCCACAAAAGTGAGAATTTTAAATAACTGATAATTCTAAGTGTTGACAAGGACTCAGTGTATCGCTAATGATTCACAATCTCTTTGAAAAAAATTGTTTTTCATAGTCACATTCTATAACAGTTGCATTCCTAGGCAACTATCCAACAGAAATGGATATGTTTGCCAAAAGATATTCAAGAATTTTCAAGAAAATTATCATTCGTAAGAGCCATGAATTGGAAATATTTCAAGCTTCTGTAAAGAAGCAAATGAATAAGCAAATGGTGGTGCATTTATGCAATGGAATAACGTAGTAATGAAGGAAACACTCCTGCATTCAACAGCCTGGGTGAATGTCACACACACACACACACACACACACACACACACACACACAACCACATACAAAAAGATGTGCTGTTTTTAACTCCATTTACAAAACATAAAAAAATAGGAGAAATTATTTGGTGAAATTAAATTCTGGGCAGTTCTTATGTTTTGTGAGATGGAAAGGATAAGAATTGGGAAAGACATGTTTTCTGGGGTTCCAGGAAATGTTCAGTTTCCTGATCTAGTTGTTTTATCTGTGTGCCCTCTTTGTGGTAGTTCTATAAAATGAAATTTTATGAGAGTGTAATTCAACAAAAATGTTTATTTAAAAACACAAACGTTTAAAGTCTGAATAAAAAGATCATACAGGCATTGCTTTTGGGGCTATTATCATACAATCTGATGTAAGCAGGCTCCTGAATTTAATTGTAACACATACAGGTATTATTCTGCTTAAGAAAATCTGAAATGAAAGACACAAAACAAGGAGTTCATTAGGTGTTATTTACAAAGGGCTGAATACATCCTTTAATGGATCCCTTGAGGAATGATTCTCTTTGTGCACTGAAATATGATTTTCCAATATTTTATTATAATAGGAAGAAATATATTACATAACTTTCAAAGTAAATTAAATATTCTTTTTCATTTCACTTTTATATTTATTTTCTTTGGTTTTCTTGTGTGACTCTTCTGAAGTATCATCCCTATCTTTGCACCATTATTATTATGCCATTGCATCTGCATCATACTTAACAGTAACAAAGAGCTTTTCAATGCTTTTACAAATCTTATAAATAAAAAACGCAGTTTTTAACAATAATTTTGGCCTGAACTTGTCTCTGTATTTGGGTCATCAAGTTTGAATCCCAATTTAGCCTCTATACTATGAATTGTAACCTAGTTTGATGTATAAATTGTAACCTAATATAAGTGCACATATTTGAAACCAGTCAACCAAGTCTCAGCCAATCATAGTAGCTGGACCTCTAGCCAATCAGAGGTTGAAATCTGTCCAAATGTGACCGTGTAAGGCAGATACTGACTGCAGTCAATCAAGATGTTTCTGTAGCTCACTTTCTTTTACTTGGCTACAAATACAACTTGCACATGTAACAAGGTGAATGAGATGCTGAATTTTGAAACATCTTTGGTCTCTGGAATGCTGTCTGATTCTAGAATCTTTTTTTCTTGTTCAAATAAGCTTTGTTAAATTTAAATAGTCAGTTTTTTCTTTCAAGAGCAGATACAAGTTTCACATTCTACGTGAGCAGACAGCTTGAAGGGGCTAAGCTTTTCCAAATATCATATGAGGTGAAGCTGAACTCTAGTATGGCATTCCCTATGTAGTAGTCCTTGAAGGTGTCAGGCTTCTTAGTTGCAAACCACAAAAATCAATTCTGGTTATCATTAGGCAAGTGAGAGACAGAAAAGAAAAACAATGAGAAGAGAAAGTAGAAGAAAAGAAGGAAGGGAGGAGAAAAGTCAGAAAAAGAAAATAAAATAAGATTTATTAGAAACATATCAGGGGTTGGGAATCTGTTTGGGAAGAGCAGTGGTTACCAGGCAGCTCAGATGTAGGCAGCTTCAGAAGGTTGGTGATACAGATAGGCCAGGTCTTTAGAATGACTCCAAAATCCAAAAAGATTCATTTTCTTGCTCAGAGTTCAATGTCCTGGAAGGGGGCCTGATGGACCGAGTTAATTTCTTGTCCACTCCTTGACTATACAACTAGGCCAGAAAGATATGAGTCTTTTCATTTCTGGGCAAAGATAGTCAGAAATTTCCCCAGAGACATATGTGAACTAGGGACTTCTCCCAAAGGGGAATTTGAACACTAATCTGAGTGAGCTGTTGGATGCTGGAGAACCAAAAACCTGGCAGTCCTCTTCTATAATACCCTTACTGGAGGAAAAAAACAAGTGGATGACTTATGTCAGCAGCTGCGATTACTGTGGTGAAAGTCTCACGGTTAGTGTGGGAGAGACACTGATTGTAACGGACTCCAGCCCTTGCGGATGTTCAAGCTTGAAACATTGAGCGGTTCCTAGTGTCTCCGCAGCCCTTCAGGAAGCAGGGAGCTGTGCTACTGTAAACTGGGATCCACTCTTGCTCTCTAGTCTAAATTAACTTTCAGCTTTAACCAATAAAGTACAAAATAAGAGCTCATATCAATCATTCCGAAGTGTCAAAAGGCTGAAACAAACAAAACAGCCAGAAGAAAAAGCTAATGGGCATCCGGGAGAAACAAGCTAGCTAGTAATGAAGCATCAACAAGAGAAGTCCAGGGCTGCCAGTGAAGCAGCTGAAATAGTTTAGGAAAATAAGTGGCATTTTAAGCATATATCAGTTTGCTAAAACGTCCATCGCAAAGGGCCATAAACTGGTTGGCTTAACTGGTACAGTATTTATTTCTCAAAATTCTGGATGTTAAGAAGTCTGAGATCAGGCTACGAGCAGGGTAGGATTCAGAGGAGTGGGAGGCAGTTCCGGGGAGTTCTTGGGCATTCCAGGCCCCTCTCCCAGCTTCTGGTAGCTTCCTGGTGTCCCTTAGCTTGTGGATGCATCACTCCAGCCTCTGTCCTCACCCTCACACAACTTTGTCTTTGTGTGTATCTACCTTTACATCCAAGTGGGGATTTGGATTCCCCTTTTCATAAAGGAGCAGATTCCCCTTCGTGCAATTGTACAAGTCACATTGGATTAGGGCCTGATTCTGCTAATTTCCTTCTAATTTGATTGCTTGTGTCAAGATCCTAATTCAAAATAAAGCCATATTGTGAAGTACTGAAGGTTAAGGTTGAAATGTACATTTTTGGAGTACATAGTTTAATGGAGAAAATGCTTATTAGTCAAGAGTAATATTTTGTAGAATCTTTTTCTGGCACCAAAGATATGTTAACTAGGTTTCATATATAGGAACATCACGGTTTGTAAGAAGGTCAATGATTTTTCCTACAATGTCGAGGCTGCAGATTTGATGTTCTGTGAGCCTGACCCACAGAACATAGTATTAATTCTGCTCAGCTTCTGGTTTTGTGTGGACTGAAAAGTAGAAATCCTGCCCTGAGAAAATATTGGTAATACCATGTGGTATTCAATACCTTAATTTTATTGAGAGTTTTCATGTCTTCCATTTCAATCTTAGTTTCCAAAACTTTTTAAAGAATTTGCTATCATCGATAATGTTTTAATGTTTAAGTATGATATTGCTGGTGGGGAGATGTTATAGGTTTGGAATTCAATGATAGCTAGCATTTATTAAACAAACATGAGTTGATGAAACAGAAAAAAGAATGAAGCCCTTCCCTTGACCCTTTGACAGCAGGTGGGGGTGGGACCTGACTGATAGTTTCATGTCTCTCCCTAGTCTGCTGAAGGGTGGTCTGGGTGACCCTTCCTCAAAGTCACCTGATTTTGGTGGCCACCCTATGGGACTTGGTAGCGCTTGCAGCTCTGACAGGACCCGTGAGCTGGCTGACAGCTTCAGTGCCCTTCTCTTACTCTAGGCAGCTTCAGGTCCTGCTGCTGTGTCTTTGAGGAGTGGCTGGAAAACCATGCTCAATGGACCAAATGTCCCCCAAGTTTCCAAGCCCTAAGTGGGCTGGAGATTTCCTTGAAAGGGGCTACTGGGGTGATTTCAGCCCAGTTATTTTTTTGTAGAAACAGGAAGCCCTGAAGAGCTCCAGAGACTGGTGCAGCAGCAAAAATGTCAGAAGCAAACCACGGGGAGCCCCGGGGGGACAGTGGAAACTATGAGAAGAGCTCCAGGAAATTCCTCAGGGGACTGACGGTCCTGGGTGCTGGGAATCCCAAAAGGTTGATTGATAGCCTCCAAGACCTATAACACTCAGCCTGGAACACGAAGAGCTAAGAGGCATGGCACTCAGAGCTCAGAGCTGTAACACTGAGGACTGAGAGCTGCTGCCTCTTAAAGCCTGAAGCTGCTGATAGCAAGCAAGCCACGCTTCGCCAATTCATGATTTCTATCTGAATACAGCAAGAAGATCCCTCAACTGATTGAAGACACCAGAAAGATAAGATCTTAATATTTACTTCTCAAACTATTCCTGCTTTACATATGAAACAGCTAAGGTTGTGATTTCTATGATTTTTGAAAGTCACTCACTAAGAGAGACTAGAATCAAACTTGGGCCGATTCTAAAATCCTGGGGTCATGCTACAGAATACAGCATCAGAAACAGTTTCAACAACCTGAGATTAACCAGGAATTTGTCTCTTGGTTCTTTGTTTCCAAATATGTATCTTGTAAAACGAGTAACTAGAAATTATCTGAAATATTTGTTGAATATAACAACTATATTGTACTTGACTGCTCTGTATATCTTCTAGGGAAGGCATTAGAGAAGAGTAGAGGAGATAGGGAGGAAGTGGGGGAAAAGTTGGAGGAAGGAACCCAGAGAGGTGAACCACGTCATCTGCTGAGTTTCCGGCCTGCACAAGACTGTACCTGCTCCCCTGATCCTCTGATGCTTGAACAGATAGGTGGGACTGAAGGACTCTTCTGCTCACAAGTGGGCAGAGGGCTCTGAAAGTGCCAGGAGTTTTTCCCTGAGAGCTGGTTAGAGAAGGTTAGAATGTTTAGGACTTGGGGAAAAGCCAGTATTATATGGGCAACCCTTTGTATTATGTGTTCCGCATTAGTAGCTACAACCAGCCATGTACTAAGCAGATTTGAAAAAAGTTGTGTGTGTACTAAACGTACTGATGTTATTTTGTCATTACTAAGTAATATAGTAAAACAACTATTTATATCACATCTATATTGCATTAGGTTTTATAAACAGCAGAGAGATTATTTAATATGCACAGGAGGGTACGCAAGGATCACATGCAAATGCTATACCATTTTATTTAAGAAACCTGAGCATTTGACGATTTTGACATTTCAGAGGTGGAGTGAAACTGAAACCAGTCCTTTGAGGAGACCGAGGGACAACTCTGTTGGAGAAACTCTTTTTAGGTATCGTCATTTTATTATAAAATAATTACTTTTTCTTTGGACCCTGCTTGGCCTCCTCCAGGTTATTTGATGCAGTATACTCAGTGCTGAGGGATGACCTAGTCTCTACTTAGCTGCTATCTGCACCTGGTTCAGTCTCTGTTGGTTTGGGATAAAGGAAGACTCAGCTGCCTCCCATAACAAGTGTTCATCCGTGTGTCTGGTAATGAGGCAAAACAAAACAAAATTTCCTGATTCAAGCTCTGGAGAAAGTGGAACAGTGAAGCTAGACTTAATAAATTATCCTCTGGTAAGCTTTGGCTTCTGAGTATGCCTCGGGCTTTATCCTGGAAATAGGCCACCTCAGGCACACACAGGGGTTCGTGAAGAAATTATTCCTGCCGTCAGTCACATTTTGTATTTGGAAATTCTCCATTTCAAAAAGCGTCAGTTTCCAAAATGTCTGTGGCTTTCTTCACTGCCTTTGCAACCCTGTGGCTCTTTTGCTTTCTATTCTGTTCTGTGAAGGTAATTTACTCTCTTTCTCCTTGTTCCATGACTGTGTGTAAACACTGAGGGCTCTGGCATGTTTTTGGGATGGTCTCGAGGTGTATAAACAAACCCACCAAGGTCTTTGAAGCTCATTTGTTTCCTCTAGGAATGTGCTGATGCGCCCACAGCTGCTTGCTGTGCAGGAGAATAAAAGTGGTGCCCTGATGACTAAGTTGGATGGTGAATAGAGGCTTCTGACACCAGGTACTGGCTGCCCAGCAAGGCACGTGTTTGTTTCATGGCAGCAGACAGCTGCTCCGTACGCCAATAGCAAGGCTGAGAAATGGCCTGATGCAAACATAGCCCAATCCTGACAGCACCCCAGCTCTGCTTCCCAGCGAAAGCCTGGAGCACAGCCCTTTCTCTCTGCTGACCCTGCATAACACTCACAAAGCCACCCTGTTAGTCCTGGACTTCCCACAGATACACATAGAACAGAGAGAGCATAACACACATTAAAAACAGAGCGAGCTGCCTAAGGGACAATATTGAAATATGCTCACTTATCTAGAGTCTGATCTTGTTTTATTCAGTTTCTTGGTAGTGTGAATGCAATAGCAAGAGATATTTTTAGTTTGTGGGCAACACATAGTGAAATAGTCCCTGGTCTTTAGATTTCCTGGTCTGATTCTTAAACCACGAAGCAAATTGACCATGAAGCAAATAAACCATGAAGGAAGACAAGTAACATATGTATGGAGTGGACAGGAGAGGGGCAACCCCATGGCTGTGCCGATCAGGGAGCACTTTATGGATGAGCGTTGGTACACTGTCCCTGAACAGAAACTGTGTGCTCTTCTTCCTGTCCTAGTGGCCCCTGGGTGCTCATACGTACGTTGGCAGAGGGAAATTTCATCATAGCAACAACCAGATAATGTGGCAGAACAGAGTATTCCTTATCATTTGTCATCTCTATATTCTTAGTTTGGAAAATATCTCTGTATTCTGCAAGGCTACTAGAAAAGGGCTACTCATTTATGTTGGGATACCTACAAGGAAATTTTGGGGGTTATTGGGTAAAGGGTGTTAAATACTTATAAAGTGCAATCAATATTCAATAAGAAGTGTGAAATTTTAAGATTATTTTGTTATTTTTACAGTGTGAATTTACATTAATTCACATCGAAAAAAAAAAAAAACAGAGAAAAGATGAGGCTCTAAATGTTCAAGTTACTGTCCCCTCATACCTCTGAACTCAATCTACTGGAGCAGTTGGCTATTATGAGTGTTACTAGGTAAGAAAAATTACCTCCAGTTTTTCTTGGGGAAATGGTATTTAGAGCAGCATATGTTTACCATTACTGGTAATTCATTCTAAAAATCTGTAAAATAGAAATAATCTCAAGAGATTGATACTCATAAGGTGACATTCTCTTTTCTTTAGAAAATAAGAGTTTGAACAGCCAAAGAGCCACATTGTACCACAGAGGACAAAAAAGCAACATGAAATGTTGGGACAGAGGAGCCTTTGACAGAGAAGGGTGAGTGGGAATATTGGCAACGTGTTTCTTGTTTTCTCTGCCTGTCTCCTAATCCTCCCTCACCTCCCTGGCTCTCTCCCTCTCCTCCTCCTCTCCTTCCTCTCTTACATTATTCCTTTTGCCCTATGTGAGGGCTTCTCTCTTAAGAGTTTACACATGGAATCTCAAAAGTAATCATTTGTAAGTTCTCCATACCCTGAAAAGAACAAACATTTTGATCCTTTCATTCTCTAAGTGAAGTTTCTAAGAATCTGACTAGGTTTTGGACTCACTGAATTGGAAATACCAAATATTGGAAAATCACTTGTGTGTGTAAAGTTGTAGAGAGCAGTTTCCTAACCACAAGTCTTTGGCACACATTATTTAATTCAGTTTGCTCAGGGCATGGGCGGGACAGGCACACTGATGTCACATTGGGAAATAACTGCTTTGATGAACCCAGGACCGATGAGTATTCTCATTGGGACTCTACTAACAGACTGCAGATCATAATTAAGTGCTTAATTAAAAAGCTAATAAGATACAAAGGAATAAACTTCAGAGACTTTTCAGAGATTGATTCATCATAAATTCCTGCAGGACTAGCTACTAAGTTTACAAAACTGTTACCAAAGGTTCCGGACTTGGCAGTTGCCTTAGGGGAGAAGAGCTGACTGGGTACTTTTTATACCCTACCAGAGATAAGAATTTGCCATTGCTATTCATCATATTTCTCAAAAGGTCAGTTAAATAGAAGGAATTATGAGAAGTAAACCACGAGGTAGTTTTTATGAAGTTGTCAAAATAAGGAAGGGAATTTTTTTTCTAGTAAGTGAAGCAAGTTTTAATCTGATCTGTGCATAAGTAAGAAAGTCAGTCATGAGAAATCTAAATGAATGACTCAGATAAATAGCAAACCAAAAGTATCCAATCATGCACAGCAGTGTATAATTCAACTCCAAGGTTTCACTTCTTGTTTTGAGATGATCAGACTTCTTGAAAAAAACGTGAAGGCCAGATGTATCAATGGGGAGAAAAGTTTCCCCCTGTGGGGGAAAGTTTTTGTAGGAAGGGAGGTTGATACCATTGTTTCTAGCACTTTGCATGTCTGATCTTATACACTTTTTTAGTAACTATGAAGTTGATGTAATTATCCCCATATTTCAGGTGTTTACCAACAGAGAAGCTAAGTAAATTTTGTAAAGTCTTACAGACAATGAGTGACTTCAGAGAGCCCCAACCCATTCTGATTCCAGGTTTCAAAACCCATCTTTCTTTCTATTCTCCTTGTCTAGATGAACATCTATGGCACCCATTAAGGGGAAACGGAACCCCAGTGGAGTTGCCCAGCAGATCAATGAATGAATGCAGGGAATCTCACTGCTGGGTCACAGACACAGCATATTAATTCTACTCTCCTACCTTTAAATCAATCCAGTCCCTCGTAACAAATTCTCTTTAGGGTGAGTACTTGTTTATCTGGTCTCTGGAATTTGCCTGGGCAAACTCTGATTCCATCCTCTTTCTCTGACCTTTTTTAGCATTTTTATCTTGATTTTCTATCTTATACCTATTTGTCTTCCTGGCTTCTTCTGTTCACATCTCTCTGGTTTCTCTTGTATGTATCCCTTACCCAGGATTCCATGACTTCAGAGTCTGCCGCTCACTTCTCCCCGTGGGATCTGTGGGCCAGGCCTGCTTCTGTGGGGTCTCTGTCACAGGATGAGAACAAATAGAGGGGGCTGGGGATTTAGCTCAGCTGCATAAGCACCTGCCTTGCAAGCAGGCAGTCGTGAGTTCAATCCTTGGTACCGATAAAAAAGAAAAAGACAAAAAAAAAAAAAGAAAGAGAACATACAAAGAAGTATAGTCAGCAGTACCTGTATTTGGATACTTTTCTTAAATGTTCTTAATCCATTGCTTTGAATGCCATCAAAAATATTTATAGTATTTTTGTAAATTAGTAAGTTTAGTTCACCAGTTGGTCATTTGGTGAATTAATTCTTTTATTAATGCTTGCCTAAGAGCAGGGCAATAATGACTGAAAGGAGCTTGGTGTCCTTTCATTGGTTATCCTTTTGCTTCCTGGAGGTAGTTGTGAAATTCTTCAAACTCTAGAGACAATATGGCAGGGATATGAGACACGGATAATCATTCTTTTGGGGCGTCTTGCAAGGGGTAGGTAGAACTTCCTACAACCAAGCAAGGTCTCAGTAGTCTTGGTTGGAATGAGGTCTTCTTGTTAACTTGGTTTCAATTTGCTAACATTAATATGTGTATTTCAATATTTTGCATATTTCTAAGAAATCTTTTAATTGTTCCTTTACAATTTAACATTAACCACAAGTAAAATCAAGATAATTCAATGTACAAAACATCTAATCTCTTGCATTTTTCCTTCTGAAAAATCTCAATTCTTGTCCAGTTTTATATACTGAAACTTTCTGCAAATTGCTGGCCACTTCTCAGTTTCTGAGTTTTTTGTTAGAAACCAAAATGTCAGCATTTCATCTTTGATAGGATTCTTGGCTAATTCTTTGTTTATATCAGATGCTTTTAAAATTAAATTTTAAGTTTTAACTTAATGAGAATTCAATTTAATTTTAATTGTAAATGAACCTTAATTAAAATTTGAATTTTATTTTACATTTTAAGTTAAATTAAAAATCACTTGCTAAAAATGTAAATTAAGGCTAACATGTGACTTGAGGAATTGGTGAAATGCTAGCTAAATGTGCTCTTATTTTAAATTTTAGAAAGAATAATTGCATTATAAATCATCTGTAAAAATCAAAAGTCACATACTGAATGCCAAATTTTTGATGGAAAAAGTATTTCATAATGGGCATATTCAGTGAATTTATGACTTGTTAAGCTATGATTTGAATAAAAAAGTATTCTCAAATGTCTCAAGTATTTGGAGGTGGGGCTTTTGGAACATGGTTGGGTGTTGGAAGCACTGTACTCATTAATCTATTGATTAGTTCATAAACTGAACGTGCTGTTAGATGATGGAGTTAGGGGTCCATCTGGAGGAGGTCTGTCACTGGAGCTGTGCCTTCACAGGGTTATGTCTCTTTCTCTGGTCCTTCCACGCCCACCCGCCCGCCCCCAGCCTCCTGACAGCCAGGGGTAGAGCAGCTTTCATCTGCCATGCCCTTCTGCCTGCTGTTTCTGCATCAATGCCAGTTGACCATGGACTGAAACCTCTGAAACTGTGAGTCAAAATAAACCTTTCCTCTTTTAAATTTTTGTGTCAGATACTTTACCCTCACAGCAAAAAAGTTGACTCATATAGCTACTATTTAAATGTCCTATTAGGGATTTTTAGGTAGCAAACCAAGCTTATTTGGCCAGGATAAAACAGAATATATTTGATGATGTGTCATTAAGTAAACATTTTTAGGATGGTTAACAAGTACAGTATGTAAATTTAGGTCATCTTCAAATTGTTTTTCCTAAGAACAGATTTTTAGTGACTCAATCTGCCTTTTTTTTTTTTAAGGGACTATGCTGTCAAAAATAACTCCAAATAATTGGGTGTACTTATGCATGTCTGTAACCCCAGCACTCTGAGAACTGAACATTCAACCCTGCCTAGGCAATTTAGAAACTTAGTGATGTCTTATCTTAAATAAAAAACGAGAATAAAGGGATGGGAATGTAATTCAGTATGAAGGTCCTGGGCTCAACTCTCAGTACCAGTAAAAACAAGAAACAAAAATACAGAAGAAGGGGCCCGGGATTTAGTTCAGTGATATAAGGGCCTGCCTGGCAAGTGTGAGGTCATAGGTTTGATTCCTAGTACAAAAAAAACAAAAAACAAACAACCAACCAAGAAGGTTGGCATATTTATTCTAAATAGATGGTGAGCCCCCACCATCTTAGATGCTCTAAATAGCTGGCTTCATTTGTTCCAAACAACTTACTAAATTAAATATAATTTTATAGAGGAAGGAGCAGAATCTTAAGAGGTTACTGATGTAAGTGGCCCAAAGGAAGCAAAGTCAAGATTGGGTGTCATGGGCCAGGCTGCCTACCATGGTTCCTAAACTGTGAAGTGCAGGGAAAAATTACTCACCCTTGCCCTAAATCTCTAATGAATGAGATAAGGAAAGAGTCTGAGCACTACGCTGTACATTGCAGCATCTGTTACAAAAAATCAGGTGGGTGAAAATGTTACTCAGGGCATAGGCATGGCATTAGTGGTGCGACAGGTGATGGGTCAGATCAGCGCATCCAACTGGCAGGAGGGTAAGATGTTGTATCAGTCCAGTGCTACAGCTCCTCATTCAGCAGCCTAATGATCTCTGCTGCTTGTGACTGTTCCCCATGTTTCCCATGAGGCCATTGGTTCTTTGAGATATTAAGCAAGGCAGCATAGAGCTGGTTGCTTTCTGTAATGTCAGCTCTACAGAGCCAACGAGGAAAGTGAAAGCATCTCAAGTAATCTTGAACTAGAACTCAGGGCATGTACTCAAGTCTAGTTCAAGGCATTTAGCTGTAGGGCTCATCAGAGCAAGAGGGATGCATTTAGGGTGGTTTTGACTGGCTTCTGGCAAGCTATTGTTTGAGAAAATTTGGAGGATGTTTGTGCGTCGATACACTGCACGAACCCTATTAATATCAGCTAGCAAATACTTCTACTCTCTTTCCTGTCACTTTCTGTGACTGTCATGACCTGTGCTCATAGTAATTATCCTGAATTTCTACACTCCAGTAGAGACCTGCAGAGATTGCCATAAGCTTGATCAGCAGATGGGCAGGAGTGGTTTCCCTTTCCCACAGTAACCCTGGGAAGAACAGGGCTTGAAAGGAAGGAAGGGGACATTGGAATGGTTTCCTTTCATTTTTGCTTGGGTTGATATGATATCTATCAGATGATCTATCTCTTCCAATTCCTTCTCAGAATGAATGTTAATTGCTGAGATAACAAGGGTTTTTTTTTTTTCATATATTATTGAGCTTTTAAAAACTTTCCAGTTCCAGTGGTCATTGATTTATTCACAAATTTGCACAGCCATCACCATTTTAATAACATTTTCACAGCCCTGAAAGAAGCCTTGTTCCTATTAGCAATCATTCCCTTCCCCCTCTTCCTAAGCCTTTGACAGTCTACTCTTTAACATTGTACATTTCTGCTTGTTGTTTCTAATCTACTGTTTCTACAGGTTTGTCACTCTTGGAAATTTCATTGAAATGGGATACACAATATATGGACCTTTGTTTTTGCCTTTTTTCACTTAGCATAACGTTTTCAATATGCACCCACATTGCCGCTAGTGTCAGTATTTCATTCATTTGTAAAGGAGAGGAAGAGCCCACTGCAGAGCACACTACACTTATTTATCCATTCTTCAGTTGATGGACATTTCAGTTGTTATCATTTTTTGGCTGTTCATGGGACTTCTTTTGTATGCTCACTGGCCATTTGCATGTCTTTTTAGAAGAAATGTCTATTCAAACCTCTGCCAATTTTCAAACTGGGTTATTTTTCTTTTTATTACTGATTTTCAAGAGTTCCTTAAATATTCTGCATGCATTTTCCCTATCATATTTGCAAATGTCTTTTCCTCTGTCGATTGACTCTCCATTGTAATTAAGTAATGAGGCAAGAGCTAATTATTTCCTGAGAAGGAAATTTGCATCATTTGTACAAAGACATAAGAGAACTCTTCATGCATAAGGTGATAGCTGAGTTAGGACTTGAAGTAAATGACAAAAATAGAGTAAGGCTCAAAACCACTAAAATAAAAATACACATTGTAATATGTGTGGTAAGCACAAATTGATTAGAGTTGTGACTAAACCGACTTTTTACGACTTCAATTAAACCCAAGATTACAGAATTACATATCAGAGCTGAAAATTTGAGATTTAAGCCATTAGTGGCTTACCTGTTGTCCTCTGACTACCTCCAGATTCTGGATCCTGTCTTCATCACTGGCTTTTCTAGCTGACAGACCATCTGCATCTGGGCAGTGAATTCCTCTCTCTCTCTCTCTCTCTCTCTCTCTCTCTCTCTCTCTGTGTGTGTGTGTGTGTGTCTCTCTGTCTCTGTCTCTGTTCTTGTCTCTCACTTTTTCTCTCTCCCTCCTTCCCCATAAACCTTAATGCCTTTGTCAATCAGGACATAGCATTAATCATGTCTGTAGTCTTACTCAAAACTGACCTTCAACTTAAAGTTTCTTCACTCAACTTTGCATGGTCTTTGTGTAGTTATCATTCCAACAAGCTGAAGTTTTCTTCACAAATAAATGCCAAAGGATACCTGTGTTCTGTATTTCTATTTGTGGATCTATGATTACCTTCTGTTTCTGAGGACATGCTTTATCCTACTACCTAGAGGCAAATTAAAGAACAGTAATGTTTTTCTTGCTTCCAATATTGATTAGTGCTCTAGAAGCATGATTTTTGGTTTATATACCACTAGGAAATAAGGATAAGCAATAGAAATCACATTTTCCAGGACTTATTGGGAATAGCAGGTCTAGGAATTGGCAAAATTGGCAACTCACTTTTCTCTGGAAAATTTAGAGTTCATATGCATACAAAATATACCATTGTAGTGAAAAGAGGGCCATGAAAACTCTTCCTAAAAACACACACCCACTTGCACAAACACACACACACACGTGCACACACACACAGATCAAAAGCAAACTGCAATTCTAAGGACGTCACTGTGATTCCTAACGATTACATATGGTACACAGAGAAATAAGAAAATAAATTAATGCCATGTAAAGAAAGTGAATTTTTGAAATATTTAGAAATTAACAAAGTTAGTAGTCTGTAAAATAAAAACTACAGAATGCTACGGTTATTCGCTATAAGTCAGGAAACAAGACATAATTGCCCATGAGGAGAAAGAAGAAAGCATCTTGGTTCACTGCAGGCCGGTGATTTGTCATACAGTTACACCAGCAACACTAAATTAGGAAACTGTCTTCCTTACACAAGAACAAGAAACAAGGAGAAAGAAAATATCCTGAAATATCCTGATATCTCTTTGTCAACCTAAGACATAATAGAAGAGTGTGAGGAAAGAGCTTTTAACTGACTTGGGATTGTTTTATTGTGCTCAAAATTTCTTGGGTGAACAAAGGAAGTCAATATAAACAATGAAGATTTCAAATATATGAAGCAAATGGAAAATAATACCTGACACTAAGCACTGGACAGATCCACACTGAGATCCTTCTGAATGCTTACCTTCTTTGAGAAATCCACAGCCAACAGTAGGACACTGTATTGGTACTATTTAATCAATAAAATATTATATGATACATTTTTATGCCCTGACCCTATGCTACTTCTATACCCAAAAGGAGAAGTCCCTCAAGGGTAATTTGTTCATGTGTAGTATCATTATTTTATTGTAGAACAAGAGACAGTTCCTGAAGTATGGAGATTAACTTTTGATTAGAATTACTTAGGAAAATTTTGGCTGCTGTGGGGCATTAGTTTTAGTTACTAGGTTGCTATGCATAGCGTCTCCAAAAGATAATAGGAACTAATAAATGTGATGTCCTAGCACGGGATTATTTCCCCAGTGTAGACCTCAAGGACACATTGTGGGATGACAGTTGAGCTTATGGCATAACATAATAGAACTCTTCATTGTATGTAAACCTTCTTTAAAATTACAGTTAGGTTTTGAATTACACCATTGTTTCTGGGATCTTTCACTCCACATTACAGAGTCTTAGAGTGTTTATTTCATATAACACCAGAGGTGGTTTAAAGCAGGGTTGCTGTGGTAGCATGGATCTATGTTGTACCTCAGCCCATTTATAAGGATTATTAGAGAAACCAGCAGAGAAATTTTCCTCTTAAATCTCATTCATCAGAAGATGATCGCGTGACCTCATCAAACCCAAAAAGGGTGAAAAGCAGTTTTCACTTCCAAAATCATTTGTCTAAAATCATAAGGCAGAATAATTAAATAAAATTGTAGTACAATGAAACAATGAGGCAATCACCCCGGAAAGATGTAATAAGCTACCAGTCTGTGTTCCAGGAAGGGTGAGGATAAAATAAAATCTTTGTACTGTATTACCTCTTATGCTTTTGAAATTCTGAATCTTATGCACACATTTATTCACAAACACAATTAAATAATAAAATTAAAACCCGGAGGTACCATTAGTGCAAAATAAAACAGAACCAATACTAGAAGACAAGCTACAGCATTTACAGTATCATATTTCAAAA